GATGAGATGGTTGCCGATTGATTCCTGGTTTTCAATGGATTTTTCACTAAAGTAATTCCGCGATGCAAAACTATTAATCAATTCACTTATAAATATACCGATAACTGTAAAGTAAAGTCACTTTCGATGTTCTGCGTGTACGTTATAACAAATCATTCAAGGGTGAGTTGAACAAGAAAAGATACTGTATACTTTAACAGTTAGAATATCGGTCCATAATAATTGATTAAATCACCCCCACCTACTTGTAAGTAGTATATATACATATTCTTCTATTCATTGAAGAATCCAGTTCTTCATTTCATAAGATAACTCAATCAAACTGCTAAAATTATTCTACTGTTTTTCATCCTTTATAGAGATTATTTGCAGCAGCAAAAGTGTGTTTGTGTTAACTGGATTATAATTAAACTACTCATTATGCTAACTAACTAAATCAGAAATTTTATTGTATCAGAATTTGTGTTGAAAGCTTTAACAATTAATGGACTTTGAATGTTCTAAATTAACTGTTATCTGTCTGCATAATAATATACATTTTTCACATCCTACATGTTTTGTATCAGTACACGTGAGAATATTTAAGGTGTCTTTCTTCATACGCTGACAGTAACTAGTTAACCTACAAAGATCATTTATAGCTCAAAAGTTAATGTGCTATATTTTGAGACCTACCATTAGCACACATTTATAATCATGTTGAGAGACGAACCCAGTATACTTGAGTTTTGCAGCTAGGTCAACTCTATGTAATCTGAGTTTGAACCTAATGTTTTACACTTTGCAACTTGCACCATTTTTGGAAGTGTAACTATTGCCAAGTTTTTACTAGATAACATCCTCCTCTTTCGCGACTTAGTCGACCCGGAAGATTACATCTCGTCACTAAAACTCTGGTATGTTTGCCCTGAAGATCATATATACTAAAACAACAACTTGTTGACCAGATCAAGAAGAGATGCTTTTTTGTCTTACTCATAAGTTTAAGCTTAAATGAAGGAAATGAGTCTATTTCACTTAGGAAACCAAGCAGATATACTCTTTCTGGCAAGATTGTTGTCACCATATTTATCGAAAACGAAATGATAAGTTAGGATCAATTAGACACTGTAATATGAAAAGCATTGATTTAAGGCTGTATTTCTATTTGTCTTTGACCAACATGCACTCTGAAGAACATCAAAGAAACTACTTTATTGATTGGGTTTACTTGAACAAAAGTTGTTGACTTCATGTCTTTCTTACTTATGGTCTGTAGTAACTACTAAATGGATTCAATAAGGATCTCACTTACTGTTGAGTCTGCAGAAGAGTAAATAGTATCCTCGTCTGGTGAATTTTTTTACGCTTGGTTGATAAGTTTATTAATGCATAAAAGTTTTTACTATATAACTACTGACAAGTGGTTTATCTGCCACAAGTCACACACATTTATAATTGATATTTATGCCGACGAACAATGAGGCATGATTTCGCTGTCGTTACTTTTAGTCGATCAAATTGCTTAAATATATATTCTTTGATGGTCAAAGTTTAATCATTATACTAGACAGCATCGTCAACACAAGCATCATAATGAAGTGAACCAAGAAATTTATACTGTTGGTTACAATTTTCTTATAATTTATAGATAATTGCTTTTAGCATTTCTATTATCACTGAACCTTATGTAGCTTTATTGGCTACATAGTGACATAAACGTTTGGTTTGGAACTCTTCATCATTCTGCTAATCGACTAAAAATTAATTAAATACGAGCTGAATTATAACCTGATGACTAGGTTAAGTGGCTTGATTTGCATAGTTTTTCATTTCTGATTGAGTCTCATTTGTTAAAAAAAATTACACTTCTCTGTCAGATTTACACCTAAGGTCATCATTATTCACTTATACAACGGTAAACATTTCTACACCCTCAATCACTTATTGCTGTTTTCACATAAAGGCATAAAGATGTTTCTCTATGCAGTATTATTCTCATAGTCGTCAAAATTCACTCCGTATGCAATATTATTTAATCTACTCTGTTTTTAAAAAAAGTAAATGATTTTAAAATAACAGTAGTGAGATTAACAACATGCACTTTAAGGTTTTATCATGTAAAGTTTTAAAGATAAAGTATTTTTACCAGTGTATTTACTTAGGGGTTTATATATTATTTATCTAAAGAACAGAAGTTGAGAAGCGCTTGTTATTTTTGACCTATATTCTTATCCTCAGTTGATTATTTTTTATCTAACACTTAACTGGGTAGTGGTGTAGTGAAGGAGAACACGGGTGGGGACAATCGGATGAATTTGGCATAACAATCACAGTCTATCTCAACAAAATCTGAATACCATAAAGTCAATCGTTAATTTTCAAATTATCAATGCATCATATCAAACTGTACTGTTCAAGTTGCAAATACTAATCCATTGTCTCCCATTCCATTGTTCATGCACTTTCTTACAAATTCCATTATGTTCTCGCTCTACCTTTCTTGATCTTCGCCATCTTCTACTGCCAGACCTTACGCTCTTTTGACGCACGTTATATACTACTTACATCAATATAAGTAGCTCGCACCATAGTGCTATTATGATTAAATACTTTTTATGTACATAAAATATTTATTCCCCAACTTAGATCCACAAATCCAGTCAAGCTCTCACAGTTTTGTTGAAATTTGAAAATTAATTCCCTGGATAAATTGTAACCGTGACTTTAGTTATTTCGGTCATTTTAATATCATAACTGTGAAGTTCAGTAATCCTCTCGACGTGAAAGACCTATGTAAAAACAGATGAATCAAATTCAAACTTCGCAAGATAGAATATCCAAAGCACGTCATTATTACCTACCCACAACCCACACTGTGTTGTAGCAAAAATGACAGTTGAATTTAATCCGAATACCGAAACAAAACAGAGATTTAAAATGATCACCACTCAGTTTATTGGATGTGCTGTATTACAAGGAAATTAAACTGCTGACTATGTGAGTTTGTGGAATTTTTCAAAAGTAGTTACTTCTTTCATCATTTGATGGACACCTTAAAGTTGTTCTCTTTTTGAGAACACATTCCATGCCCTTTAGAACCTCTCTCCAAGAGTAAGAGTTTATGTTAGACAACTTTAAATGGGAAATCAATATGTTAGTGAACTTTACATAGCTTTGAAATGCTGATATTATATTTCTAAAATTTACATGTATAACTTAGTCACAAATATCTCTACCAAACAGTTTCATTGCAATTATCTGACTTAGACTTCTTTTTGTAATCAATATTTGTGATTTTCGATAAAGAATATTTTTGAAAACTAAACGTTTGAAATGTGAATTGATAAAAAGCGATTCTTTACTGTTACTTTGTAAAACTTTCAAATAGGTGTTATGAATATAAGATGAACAGATTGTTGTGAGAAATGTTTTGCTAAAACTTTATTTGACCGCATTTCAATGAAACGAAAATTCTCTGGATACATCAAGTAACTAAATCTGAACGTATTTACTCGAAAAAAAACAGGATATAAATCTAGTATCGCAAACATATCTACATTAGTTCACGTTTTTATGCTACGCACAAATGGCATAGATAGCTGAAAAATAACTAAAAGTGCGAGCGTTAGACTTAAACGTGGTATAAAAACAAAATTCTAAACAACTACTGAACTAAGAAGGATTTAGAAAATAAATAAAGATGTGAGAGAAAAGTGTAGGAAATTTATTTGGTCACATAATGATAGAAAAACTTAAAAGGCCTTGCTTTTCAGGAAATAGCTTATAAGGAAATATTTGTTTTAACTAAATAAACAGAACACACTGGTATATAGCAGTTTCGTGCCACCGCAATACTTTACAAAGACTAGGAATATATATGTAACAAGGTGCTAAAATATATGGTAGACCTCAGCAAGCTTCATTCAAATTTTGACGCTTACATGTAATTATAAAACGATATGACACTTCCACATTATCCCCTTCAATTAAAGGCAAAATGTGCATATCGAATTCATCCATGCCTAGCATATCAAAAGCTTCGTCGTAGACCTCTAATACTAACTTTAATAACTTAATACAAGGTAATTATACTTTGATCCTTCAGAAAATTATACAGCAGTTTTAGTGACTATTCAAAATATGATTTAACTTGTATCATGTGTGGACACCAGTTTACCAAGTTTTAAGTACTTATTCACCTTATAAACTGTTGTCTATTGACAAAACAATGAGTTTTTCAGAAAACCCCGGTTTTTCGCTGTCATTCTTTATACAGCCAATACGTTATGTTATTATTCATTATAGCTTAATGCTTTACTGATAAAGGCTATAAAAATATGTCGTCGTTTTTACTAGTTTTGCACTGTTATCCTTTGATTTTGATGGCTTTTCGACATTCATAATTTATCTTATGTTTTTTAAAAATAAGTTCTAGATATCAATATTAATCAATTTATATCTCATGAACATGAACAAAAATTAAATACTAGTATCAAAATTTTCACACTTGTCTGCATATACCTCTATCACAATTCTTCTCAAGAACTACTAAAAGTATAGGGAAGAACTCTCTAGCTGAATAAAAGATGAACAGATAGAACAAGGTAATCTTTCATTCGAAAAATAGAACAGTCTAGAATCCGCAGTATCTTGATCATCATACTGCTATTTCTAAAACTTAAAATAAAAGAATATATACACAAAAACAATATATCAAGCGATGTTTGCGAAAATTCTACGAAAATGGAGCTATATCTTAAAGCAAACTGTTCTTGCCAATTACAAACACTTCAAAATTTAAAACACACCTGGTAAATTGACAGATTGTTCAGGTGAAAACAATAAAAGACTTAAAAAATACTGCGGTTATTGGTATAAACCAAAAGTCTTGATGTTAATGATCTGAATATTAGAAGTTTTGGGAACCGATCTTTATTGATAAACTTTGCTCCTCCAGTTAATACAAAGAATAATGTTGATCGGAAATGGCAAAATATGTTTCTAATACTTTAAATTACTGAAGCATGCACGATTCATAAGTCGGGACCATATATTTTATATTTATGAAAGCATTTTCACCCCCATGCATTTCAAGTATTTCCAAAGTTTCGTGAACTAAATCACCCAGATTCTCACGTTTTTGTTGGCTATAATCAATACCATCGCCCAAATTCTTGTTTTTATTTATAAATGTATTCATGACTGGTAACAGTTGTCTGTAGTATGGTACAAGGGCTTCGCCAATCATTTCACCAGAAACGACTAGATGTTGAATGGCTTTGAGGACAGTACAGCAAACTTTGTGCTGACGTAAATTTAGAGCAGACTTTATTGGGATGATAAGTTGTGGTATGACAGGAAGGATTTTGTTTCCTCCGTGTTCAAGTAAGTCATGGACACCTTTATTTTTAAGATTATACTCACTTACTTACCTTGCCTTGCAAAGAATTCATATGGATGTTCGGTTTCTGCTAAACCTTCAAAAAATAGTGGCAAATAATGATGGTAATCCAGCTTTTCGATTTCCACTTTCCATGCAATTTTGTTGCCTTTGCTATCGTGCTCCAAAGCGATAGGAAAGTCACCTCGATTATAAAAGATTTTAAACTGAGTATCACATTTTAGCAATCTGTGCATGAAAGCCCCAGCCTTAGGTGGAGACCCAACATCGATTTTTCGAGTGAATGCCACAGGTTTAAAGGCGAATTCTGGACAGCAGTGATCCACTAATTTACGTTTTGCATGATTATCTCTAACAGGACTCAAAGTATCAGTGCCCATTTTCGAAAAAGTGACAACTCTGTTATTCTGACAACAATAACTTAAACAAAAAGCCGGAAAATTATATTGTGCACTCGGTCATCATAAAAAAACTGAAGAAACTGGAACAATAAATAGCTCTTTATGTTGAAGTTACGGTGTTGTATTCCATGATAGCCCTATGTCTCGTAATGTAAATGAACTATCTGATATATAAATGATATACATCCCAGGCAGACAAAAGAGAAGGAATAAAAACGAACAAAATAGAACAAAACGCGAATTAGTAATCAAACAAGGGAGAAATAAGGAGGGAACGCGCCAAAAAGTCCCTTTTGTCGCCTTCCGTTGAGAAATAGTGATATATTTCCTTTTTGTCACCTTGTGTGAATTTACTATAGATTGTCTACTGTTCGATTAAACGCATAACAAGCTATCCACTCCTTCCTTCAACTTATGCAGAATTTTCGCACATTTGTATGCCTTTATCTCAAGTTTTTGTCATACAGTTGATTTTACTTATAAAATTATACTCGATGAATACATTTATTTACAGGGCATGGAATCACAGTTGGCAATGAAGTTTATAGCAATAGGATGATCGCAGCGAATCTTCACTGAAGGCGTAAAGTTTCCTCGTCACAGGTGAACATCTGGAAAAAAATGTATAGTTAACGGGTAATGAGTTCTAATTGTCAACCTCATGTGAGATTGTGCATGCTCTTATTATATGCCCACAATTGGCCTTAACGTAACGCAGGTAAGTGAGAAAGCACATGCATAAAAACATGGTTCAACATCGTAATAACTGTCCCTTGGATTAAGAACTTTTTATTGTATACATTTAGAACAACGTTGAACTGCAACACTTTCTGTCAACAATTGATGACACAGCGTGAGGCTCACAGTAATGTCTGTTAACACTGAGCACTGCTTCATAGGACAGCAGTCAGTTTTTATTATTTCGGATTATTACTTTCATTAAACATACTTCTTCGACGACACTTTTGAAGGATTTCACTCATGTGGTGGAACTGGCCTTGCGTTGCGATGTCATGCAATTTCGTAAGTTCTCTTTTTGTGACGAAGACCCATGTTCAAATTTAACACCCAGAGATCAGAAATGGTGAACGCCTAACATTTAGTCGGTTAAATATGATTCATCACTCTACATAACCTCTTCCTTTACACTTCGAGTGTATTGTTCTATCCTCGGTCAAAGTTCTAAACAGAATATTATTGACTATCACGTTAGGACGAGTCAGCATAGACAGTGATACGGATTCCACGTTATTTCCTATAGATTAGTCTGTCAAATCATGTTAAATTTACAATTCTGGTATTAGGTCACTTATTCAAGTAACATAGATAAACATACTTAATGCTGACATGGACAGTAGTTTTACATGGTTTCACAGATTTTGCTGTTTCTATATGTGTACCAGTAAGAAATCGGCAGGATCACGAGATGATTTTTTTGTCAAAAGCTAGTGCATATTAGCAATTTTTCCTGCGATCCCATAGAAACCAATGCTCAGAGAGGAGTTTTAGGGATATCATGGTAATTTAATAGTTAAATTCATGAGTCATTTAAATCTAGCTCACCATGGGAAACCTGGAAGCACTAGACGATATTTTCGTCCTACTATTGGACTCGATAGAAGTGAGCATCCCAAATTCCCCTTGTGAAATTCAAACCGCGGAGCAATCTCCTCGCGGATGAACAACTAACATCTATACCAATGAGCCGGCATCCAATGGTATTAACGTCTAAATTCAACCAGTGTCCATAGAAAGTACGTGCTTAAGCAACAGATTCTCGTGTGCATCTAATCAATGTAAATCATACTGTCCATAAATACTTTAGTACCAAAAACTTCTTCATTTTTGTAGGGAGAAACTTTGGATTAGGCTGTAATTCAGTCTCCTCATTTAGTTACCACTTGGTAGACATTCGTCAGCAACTACTGGTATACAGCCTACAGAAAAAATAATTCTCCATCTCTAGGCTTAATGTGCCCACACACGTACCCGCTTCATTGATTCACAAGCAAAGTAATATGACTAGTCCGTACTCAATGTTCCCACTTTGAGAGTATTCATAATTAAAGACACATTATCTTGTTTTACACTCAGATAAATCATTTTTTCGGACCTATTTTATCTTTACCACGCGCATATGACTCTTACAAATCGATATTTGACGATTGTTCTCTGCAATTAGTTAAAACTTTCATTGCATCATTCCAAAATATTACTGCAGAAATTCATTCTACCATCAAATCATGGTGAATGATTGATTTGTTTTATTTTACCTTTTTAGACTCATTCTGTAATACATATATCTCCGTATAATATTCTGTTCCCCAAACATACTGAGTTATTTACATGTTGAGCTTTTCTTTCTTTTATTTTTTCTCTAAAGACTACTCAGTTTTCCTCTGAATTCTATAGTAACTGTTTAAATATGCCGAATATTATGCAAACATTGTTAACACGTGTGCATAATCCCATGTCTGAAGAAACTCGAAATGTTTTCTTCGCAACATTTAAATGCCAAAAGTTGCCTGTGAATAATAATGACTTATTATGATAATCACAAATATTCAAACTGATTTGCTATCTAAGAATTTCCGAAACAGTGCAATTTAAGGAAGATGAAAATAGATTAGTGGAGCGCGGCGTATCACATATGAAATTTTCGATAAGCTAAAGATCAAGTAAACGCGATTATCAGTGAGTACAAATAACACACTCGTCACTGCTTGCATGGTAATCCAGGTTTCCATAATCTAACACGCGCCCTCTACTTAAGTTCATCTTGTGGACTTGTCGCTTAAAATCAGCGAATTACAACACACGAGAATAGAAAGTTTACGACCAGTAATACGCGATTTAGAAACTTTAATTGGTTTAATTATTTCATAGGGATTTACTGACTTTAACTTTCCAACTGGCACGATAGATTTGATGCAACTAGTCTTAGCATCAAAATTGTGAAAAGCACCATTTTACAGCGAATACAGTGATCTTGAGTGTTGTTAGGCGTATGAAGACAGTTATCACATCCCGTTTGCCCACACCGTGAAAGGGTTCCTCCAAAGGAACCTGAAAAGGAAATTGGATTAAAAGTGGTCTTAGTGACCTGAGAGAGTGCCCACAGTGCCTAACGGACAACTGCTTGAGGTTTGTCACACACAACCTTTTTATGAGTACTTTTTGTGTTAGCTCCGTACTTGTTGAGACGTTACCGCTGGAGACGAATATCCGTGGGATAAGGCGAGGTGTGCACTTTTAGGGTTGACCTCTTCTAGCTCCACATCTCCTTGTGGGAAGGCAATATCGCTGTTATGGTTGTCTGACGGAATTACTTTACTGCCGTTACACCTCTGTACAGTTAGCAGTATGACTTTGCTTCGGAATTTCGGTTTATTGCTTCTAGTCTTAGCGCTCTTCAACCGATTTGTCTGGCATTGTAGGACCTTGAGGAACGACTGCTGCTCAAGATGCGCGGAACCCAATATAATGGCAAAATGTCAGCTATAGGTTGAGAAACATTGGCTCAACGGTGCACATGAAAGCACATTATATATGCGCTCGAAATTACTTTTCTACCGCCCCCACGAGCTATCCATCACGGAGATATTTCGATTTTTCATTCACAGTCAAAAATTTTCTTTCAAGATGTCTTGGCATAATTCGTTTGTGTCCTTCCATGTATGACCACACTCCTTGTGAAAATATTTCACAATTAAAATATTTAAATACCTTTAATATCTAAAACGAGAGCCACCATGTGTTTGGCTCCTGATAATTCGACCCTCAAAAAGTAATCTGCCCATGACGAAACCACATCTTCTAATCTCACTGCAGTTGTAAAAAGATTCTTTTTACTGGTTTTCACAATAGATGCTAACAGTGTAATCTTAGCCACTTCATACATACTGCTTCTAAACAGATACTATCGCAAGTAGCCACGCTTAATGCGCCGATCAACAAAGTGCCCCTGTTATAATATATGAAGATCGGTAAGTAACTGTGTAGCAAGCTCAAAGCAGTGATCATAGACATCTGTCTCTCTTTTGATTTTATGACTGGATAACTGAACATTCAAGAGATGACATCATTCAGGTGTGATAGGGGAAACTGAGTGGAAGGGGTAATGATGACACACATCTATGTCTACTTCAAGATTACGATATTTGTTGACTTTGTCAGAGCATTTGTCGATGTACCACACTTAAACTTTGTAATGAAGATCGAAAAGAGCGTTTCGCCTACTTAATCATTTCCTGGTTGTAAAATCATTTAAGAACCGAAAATTTTTCACTTACCGATATAGAGTGTGTGCAAACTGGAGAACCTTAAAATCCGAAGTCACACAGGGAATCAATTTACAGACTTTATTTTCCTGGTTGCTACAAACGATCTCCTGGATAAAAAGCAGCTCACAGGTCTTATCTACACTGATGACCTCAACCTTCGGAGACCCATAGGAAGCGAGTGAAACCTCGGTTCCAAAAGTACTTCGCGCTACTGAAGTGATGGGAGGGAAGGGTGTCACGTTACGAATATCCATTCGTCTCTATACAAACCTCCAATATATTTCATGATCATTTTCTAGCAATTATCTCCACGATGTGACCTAGGTTTACTGATTACGTTAAACTTGGGTATCATTGCAAGCGACACGTGGCATGTCACCGGAAATCATGCAGTTTAACATTTTACACGGAGGTAGAATAATGTTGTCACTTGATAACTGATTTTAAACGCTCGATTAAACGTACACATGGTCTCGTCCCGAGAATCTCAGTTTTACACACCTCCTTTTGGAAAAGATTTCTCTCATAACAATTACAAGGGCATAAAACACAATGGGTAGTAGGATTAAGGGACAGATGCTGTGAGGAGTGAACTCACCGTTTTGGACTATTCCAATTACAGCACAGGAAATTAAAAGTCAAACTGATGTTAGTGTAAAGAGCAATAAACACCTCAGGTTTCTCTAGTAAAAGAGTATCTGATGGCAAATATATCAACTCATGGATTAACTCCCGTCTGACCCTATATCAAATGGAAAAATCGGAGTGAAGTAGCATCTTTTTTCCTTACCGGAAGATCTCATCTGGAGTCCACTCCCAAATGACGTGGATCTC